GGTTATTGTGGACATGAGGGAGTTCCGAAGTGAGCTCCCTTCTCTTCTGCATCGGCGTGGGCTGGACATTGAGCCGGTCACGCTTGAGGTGGGCGATTACATATTGACCTCCGATATCTGTGTGGAACGGAAGAGTGTGAGTGATCTGATTGGGTCGCTGCAGAGTGGCCGACTGTACACGCAGTGCCTCTCCATGAGCCGCTTCTACCGCCAGCCCGTGCTGCTTATTGAGTTTGACCCAGCCAAGCCTTTCTCTCTGGTGGCTCGCAGTGACCTACGCCAGGAAATGTCTGCCAATGACATCACCTCTAAACTGACCCTCCTCACCCTGCATTTCCCCCGCCTCAGACTGCTATGGTGCCCCTCCCCACATGCCACTGCCGAACTCTTCCAGGAGCTGAAGCGCGGCCGGCCGGAGCCAGATGCCGCTGCTGCCCAGGCAATCACAGCAGAGTCAGATGTGGTGGAGGAATCAGCTGACCTTTACAACCCCGGACCCTATGATTTCCTCATCCGCATGCCTGGAGTGAACGTCAAGAACTTCAGGGGGCTCGTGAAACATGCAGCCAACCTGGCTGAGCTGCTCACTCTGAGCCAGGAGAAACTAAGTGACATCCTGGGCAGCACCAGTAATGCCAGGAAGCTCTATGAATTCTTACACAACACCATGAACGGAGCTTCTGTTCAGAAGAACAAACATACTTCAAAGTGATAGACAAGCATAGTGATCTAATCTGAAATTTGAGTAATGTTTTTGAATTTTAACTGTGCCTTAAGCTATATTTGAGTGGCGGGTGTTTTTGTATAAATGTGTCATGTATTAGTGTACTGTCCATGAATTTTGTCTTTGAACATCTTTGTATTTAAGGATTTTGTAATGAAAATATTTGGGGGAAAATGAATGGAGAAGAAATAAAGAATTTTGAATTGCGTCATCAGCTTAGAGCGTGCAAGCTTTGGACATATTAGTGATTTTTATTTACTCTATTGAGATGTGGATGTAGATCTGTCTCCGTTTAATGACTGTAGACGATTGGGTTTTCACTGTAAGCAAATATTTGATGATGATGATGATGATAATGATAATAGTATTGGCATCCTAAATTTATAATAATCTTACATATTTATACCATTTGTATGTGTACATATTTGTACTTGGTTCTGGTGTACACTCAAGGATCATTGCACAGAAAACATTTTAATTTTCACGGTAATTTCTCTCTCACACAGACATCTATCTATCTATCTATCTATCTATCTATCTATATATATATATATATATATATATATGTATATATATATATATATATATATATATATATATATATATATATATATATGAGAGATATAGATAGATAGATAATGTGTGTGGTATGTATGTGTGTGTGTATATATATATATATATATATATACACACACACACACACACATTTTGTATTTTAACAACGAGCAGAGTTACAGCACAAGACAGTAGACTGTAAAAGAGAAGGAAAAAAAGAGGAAATAAAAGTAGAGATCAGCTGATTAACAGAGAAGTGTTTTAGGACATGCTTTATTTAGTCAGCTTTATTTTACAGAAAGTTTTTTTAAGAAAGTTTCTGATAAGAACATAAAGAAAGGCTAGGAGTTTATCAATAGCTGCAGAACTGTCTTATTTGCAGCTGTAAAACCAGCAAATGTTAAGTGTAAAAGTTAAATTATTATTTAGAAGGCACAGGAAAGACTTTGCATCATGTACTACCCCAGTTCAACCTGATAGAGATTTGTAAAATTTTGAAATTAAATGTTCATGCTCTTTCCCAGCATTGCAGCACTGGCAACACAGGTTTTTTTTTTTAAAGTAGGTAGTTATGTATTCTGGAGATCATTCCGCATAAGAGGATTAATTAAAACATTTAGTTAAGGGATGAGAAGTGAAAGGAGATTGACACGGTACACCATATGCTCAGAGGGATAACCTCAATTGTAAATCCTTGGTAAATTAAACTTTATTATGCTATCCTATTATGAGGCCCCAAAATATAAATGCCCTGATTAGACCATGAAAAATTAAAGGAAGTTTTTTCCTCTCAGTAAATTATAGTGATTCCAAATCGGTGTGGCAGTATGAAATTTGAAAAGACTGCTCAAATACACTATATGAACAAAAGTATTGGGACACCTGCACATTACACTCAAAGGAGCTTTTATGACATCCCATTCTAAATCCATAGGCATTAATATGTAGTTGTCACTGACCCAAATTGTCTTGGTATGTTGAAGCATTAAGATTTCCCTTCACTGGAACTAAGGGGCCTAGACGAACCCCTTAAAACAACCCCACAACATTGTCCCTCCTCCTCCAGGTGTTACTGTTGGCACAATGAGTCAGGCAGGTAACGTTCTCCCAGCATTCACCAAAACCCAGCCTCGTCCATCAGACTGTCAGATAGAGAAGCATGATTCGTCACTCCACAGCTCCAGAGTCCAATGGCGGCACGCTTTACACCACCCCATCCACCACTTGGCATTGTGCTCGGTGATGCCATGCCATGAAGATCCCGGTGCAAAGTTTTTGTGCTGATGTTAATGCCAGAGGAGGTTATTGAGTCAGCAGAGGTTATTAAGTCTGCAGAGCGTTGGCGACTTTTATGCACTATGCACGTCAGCACTGTAACTTTACATGGTCTGCTACTTCGTGGCTGAGTTGCTGATGTTCCTAAACACTTCCACTTTTCAATAATATAACAGTTGATTGTGAAATATCTAGGAGGGAAAAAATTTTGCGAACTTTCCCATTCTTTCACAAATGTTTGTAAAGGCAGACTACATGGCTAGGTGCTTGATTTTATATACCTGTGGCAATAGGAATGAATGAAACACCTGAATTCAGTGATTAAGAGATGTGTCCCAATGCTTTTGTCCATATAGTGTACCTTTCAACAGAACTCCATACCTTGAGACACTTATCCACAAAACTTCCAAATCTGAATAGGAGGTTCCTACAGTCAATACCTGCTTAGGGCAAATCCTGTAACTTGAAACTACTTTAGTGGCTAGTGCAATAGGTATAAGAGACATTGTCGGCATTAAATGATGCAATGCCTATGGTTATCTTCTATGATTTAGGTTTGGAATGTACATTTAACCTTGCAGCTTGCACAAATGGTTCAATAGAAAGCGCAAACAATGAAGAACAGAGCAGACACCCTTGCCTTCTTCCCCTCTAATAGAAAAGGAGAAGATCAGTATAAACATCTTAGTATTATTGTTGTTAGATTACAATACAAAATTTTAATCATGCTAATAGATGTATTTCTGAATCCAGATTGTTCTAGAAGCAACCTCTATATCCAGATACCCCCACTCAAACCTATCGAAACCTTTCTCGGCATCGACTAAAAGAACGTGACTCTGACATTGTATTAGCTAGATCTATGATACAAACAGCACAAATTATCTGCAGCGAGACGCCCCCTTATGAAACCTGTATGATCTTCACTAATTGTATAGTGTAATATATTTTCGATTCACATAGCTAGGGCAACAAATCAAAGATATTGGCCTGTAATTAGTACAATCCTATGAATCTTTGTCCCTTTTTTAAGAGTACAGAAATATGTGATATTGTCTGATCTCTATGAAATAAATGCAATAAGCATCAATGGACCAACTATGTCCCATATTTCTCTGGGGGCAGCCTGTCAGGGGGTAGCCCATCGGTGTCAAATTACTCAAAAAGGATTTGTTTCAGTAACGGCAAGGAGGCACAATGGGTAGTATTGTCGCCTCACAGCAAGAAGGGCCTGAGTTTGTTTCTCTGGCTGGGTGACCAGGGTCTTCTCTGTGTGGAGTTCGCATATTCTCCCTGTGTCTGTGTGGGTTTCCTCCTGCAGTCAGGCTAGTTGGAAATACTAAATTGCCCCTAGGTGTGTGTGCCCTGTGATGGAGTGGCGAACTATCCAGGGTGTTTCCTGCCTCCTGCCCAGTGAGCACTGGGATAGGCTCCTGCACTCCCTGTGACCCAGAAGGATAAGCGGCTTAGAAAGTGTGTGTGTGTGTGTGTGTGTGTGTGTGTGTGTGTGTGTGTGTGTGTGTGTGTGTGTATGTGTGTGTGTGTGTGTGTGTGTTGTTCAATTAAAAACCATTCGTCCCATGTGACCAAACAACCAAATGTAACATGATCAGTGAATCAAAACTCCTGTGTCCATGTGTTTGGATTTTCAAGTTTCAGAATGTCCTTTTCCCACCCTAGTCCATATAGCACATACATAGAAACTAAGCTTACATATCGTCAATATCCAAAAAAACACAAGTATCTCCAAAATATTAACTTTAGAGGAGAAGGCACTCTTACCTTTCAATGTAAGTCAATATAAAGATTTTGTTCCAAGTGATATTAGAGCATTTCTATTGGTCCATTCATCATGAAATATTTCCACAATGTAAAGGACAGCTGGTGTGTTGAAATGATGTAAAAAAAAAACAAAAATGGAGATACATGGTTTTCATTGGACAGCGACAATATCTTAGTTATTTAGCACATTTTATTTTCACTGGTTTTGTGATGGCATGAAAGCCAGTCAGCAGTTTAACTCTGCTCATTCATGTTGAAGTTACATAAGAAGTGTTTCAGTCAAGACAAAATGAAAACAGGACTGCCAATCAGAATAGAGGGCATATATCAGTCTTACAGACACAGTAATAACAACATTATGAGGAATAAAGAGGGGTTGGAGAACAGGGGAAAATGAATTAAAGCTGCTATTGCTACATAAAACTACACAAATTGTAAGTCATATACAACAATGAGCAGAGGTACAACATATCATACACATATTTCATAATTGAATTTCTGAGAAAAAATACAGAAAGAAATGTAGTATATACAGTACGTCCGTCAAATTTTCACACATTGAGATTAAAGGGTTAATAGTTTTGGCGCCCCCTACAGGCGGAATGCAGTCTAGCAACAGCAGCTTTGCCAAACCTCTGGTTGCGTCACTGAGTTCAGACAACCAGTCTAGCAGCGGCCATCTTATTTCCACAAAAAAACTTAAGTAACGTTACTGGAGAAAAACACTAGCTAGCTATCCGTTTCTCCGCAAACGAATGCTCGTATATTGCTGACAGTTATGGATTATTAAATCTCAAGTTAAGGCAGGCGCCAACTCGACAGCTGTAAAGAAAAGGGTAAGATAAGCAGCTGTATCTGTTGTTGTTAGCTGTGTTTCATTTTCATTCTCTGCTCACGCTAGATGTAGCCTGTCTGCCTACTCTGATCAGTGTTTAGCTCAACTCTGATCAGTGAGTTAGCTAGGTTACCTGGCCGTGAATTCATAAACAGAAAGCATGTTTGCTTTCCTTACTCGGCTGCCTGGCTTGCTAACAGTTACTCGACAGGACAGACGTCTAAAACACAAGCTTGGCTCTCAGAATATGAAAATGTCTGTCCTTGTGGAGCGGTTTTCGTAATTAAAGGTTACTGCTGACAAATAACTGGGCACTGCAGTTTCATGGTAGCTTGAATTTAATGAGAAACAAAATCAGTGACCAGGTAGGCTAGCGTGCTTCATGAACTTCTGTCAGTAGCTAGCTAAGCTAGTTAACCTAGGTTAGCTAAGTTCTGTCGGTAACTGCAGTGCGGGAGCTGCATTTTCTTCACCGGTTAACATTAGCTAGCTATTTAGCTGTTGATCTGTTCATCTGTACAGAAATAATTATGTGGTGATTTATTGTCTAGGAAACTGAGGATGCTCGAGGATGCTTACACTTCAAGTTTATTCTCTCTCTCTCTCTCTCTCTGTGTGTGTGTGTGTGTGTGTGTGTGTGTGTGTGTGTTTGAAACGAGATTAAGCCTTTGTATAGATGAGTAAAGGCTAGTACGTTAGCGGTCTGTGAGTCATGCGCCAGATGTGCAAGTTCATATTGCAGTTCTTTTGATTACACGCTTGGCCGCTTACCATTCTGCATGTCACGTTTAACAAGTAGTAAACGATCCGGTGCTAGTCAGCAGGTTTGATTAGAAGACTGTAAGTGAAATTGTACACCTTTGCTCTCGAAGATTCAGTGTCTTGTGTATCACGGAGCAGTAGGGCTCATTTATGTCAGCGTACCTCTCCACTTGGTGCTCTTCAGTATACTAACCTAAGTGTGCTAGAAATGTGGCACCACAAAGGAGTAGGGCTGGGCTATATGGACAAAATGCCCTATTGTGATTATATTGCTAAAGACTGCAATATGTTTAAAAGTGGTTAAAGATTATCCTGCCTTAGTTTGCCCAAAATAATGTACTTTTGTTGGAATTCATGAATGCCACAATTCATAAAAACACACACTAAAACACGTATCTGAAACTGTGATTGGTCAAGATGTTTTCTTACAGCACACAGTAAGAAAACTCTGATTGGTTAGAGGGCTCGTTTGCATATTGTAGCCTTGTGCGATGTCAGTGTTGTAAAGGCCAGCATTTTGGTCATAATTTGTAGCCCTGTATGAGAGTAAGCTTGGGCGGTACGGCGAAGTAATCGGACGTTGGCAATGATTGACAACCCGATGATGATCCTTCAGAGGCGATAAACGTCGTGTTGGGAAAGAGAACTGTTAGAGAACTAAATAATATCAAATCATATGCTAAATAATATTAAATCATATGTACACGTAATGTTTAATTCCCTTTTACTATTACAACAATGCACTGTTACAGGGGAATAATAAGCTGCGGGGAGTAAATTTTCTACTTTTCAGCTGTGGTTTTCCTAGTGTATGCCCATACCGTCTAAGGAGTAATTTAAGTGCTTTTTGTTCAGTTCAAGTGTCCTCATGGTTCTGATGACAATCATCAAAATATAATGCTTCATGGTTTTTGGTTTCCCACAGGCACCTATAGTTGCATTCCAAAACTGGCTGCGTTATAACAATAGAAAATGCCTTTGTGAGCCATGTGGATGTGGCTTAGGGGTGAGGCAATATTACTGATTGTCTCAATTTTTTAACAATGAAAAAAAATGTATTATTTAGATATCACCCAGGCCTTCATGGGAATGAAGTATAATAAGCTGAATCAACATATCAAGCATTATATGTCTCAATCAGAGAGACATTTTTTCAGCAGGTCTATGTGTCCTGCCATCTTTTGCATTATTAGCTTTACTGTGATGTCCTTGAACTTAGTAGAACTTTTGAACTTCTTGATTGCACAGCCTCACTGTTTGGTGTGTTGAGACAAGGTGAAGTATATAATATAGTACTATAATATATAATTGAGATAATGTATCATTGGCAGCCTTTACACTGGTGCCTAATTAACCAAATGTTGTCAGAATTGTCCATAATTTTGTTATTGGTGCATCCTTGCCAAACAGCCTTTTCGCAAAGTTGTTATTTAGTCTGAATGATGTTTCTTAAAAGGCAGTAGGTGAAATAGCAGTAAAAGTGAGGTACAACAACATTGGAATTATTTTTTTAACTCTTTGGCACCACCTCCTATCCCTGTACATAAACACAGACCACACCCAACACAACTTACAGTGACCAGCTAGTTCCCCCTAACTCCTGTAGAGTTTGCTAAAGTTGTGATGACACTCAGAGACAGGGCTTGAACCTTCGGCCCCAGAGATGTTGAGATGTTTGATCATTTCAGGTATAGCTTTGGATGTAGTCAGAGTGGGTTAGCTTGCAAGTGTTATCTAACATTACTTATAATCTATGAAGACAGTTTATCAAAAAGATTTGCTTTATAAGCCATTCAATATTGCTCTTTTTATTTCTTTTCTTGTCATGAAACTTTCCCCTCACTTTGCACCAATGTATGTGGTAGCATTAGGAGGTCATCATTTATTTTTTTTTTTGGCCTTTTGAGGATATGGGCGGAGTGAAGCGGAGTGTCTATAATAGACTGACATGTGGTCCATGTAAACACAGACCAGCATAACATCCTGGAACTCATTTCTTCTAAACAAGTTTACTCAGATGTGTAGTACACTGATGTTGATGACATTACATTAATAACTATTTTTTACTTTCTACATAACAGTTCATGGTGAATTTGTGCTACTATGAGAGTAATAAGCATCTCAGGATACATCATCTAGCTTAGGATATATAACTAGATCTGGTCCATAGCGGAGGAGAGGGTCTGTAAAATCAACTGACTGGCAAAATCAGAAAACTGGAATGTATATTATAATCTGTCCAAGGGGCATTCAAAGTATGTATGTGCATAGTTAATTATGTAATAATGTGAATTTTTTTTCTACCTAACCATAGATTAGAATTATTGCGCAAAGGGAATGGTTAAATAAAGGAAAAAAATCACATGGCATGTGAAAGAGAACAAAAGAACAATAATTTGAATAAAGTACATGCATTGCACATATTTAAATAATCACAATATTTAATAAAATCAGTATTCAGCTCAGGGCTAGAGGGTAATAATATTGATTATTGCACCTTTAAAAGTACTTAAACTTAAGCTGTTGTTTCTGAGCAAGTAACTGTAAAATCAGTACACAGACAATAACACTGAAGCATATGTGCTGTTTTTTGTGCTTCTTATATGTTTCTCTTGAGTGGGTTGCGTCCATCCTTCTCTAGTTGACACTGGAAAGTTAAACAATAACACAGCAAGGGGAATATAACTAGAAAATAGGATTTTACAATAATATACAATATTTCTACACATACAAATACACAAAATTAAAATGTATGTTGAATACAGAGAGAGAAAAAAAGAAACCAGCCTGTCATTGGACTAGCATTTAGATTGAACAGTGATAATCGATGACTGTTAGTAGTCTATCATAGTAACAGAAATAGAAATAGATCTGTGAAAATCAGCCACTGTTACAAGTGAAAACCAGTGACTACTGTTAGAAGCGTATCACAGTGAGAGATCCATAAACATGAGTAACTACTTAGAGAGGCCTAAAAAGATTATCTGTTAGTATGAATATGAGAAGAGCTTGGTGTATTGTGAGGCAGGTGAAACAATGTCTTATCTTTAAATAATTTGAGTCTGTGAAGGCACCATTATCATTAGGGTGTGTGGCATGCAAATGTGGCTAATTTAATGAAGTGATATGTGCTTAAAGATGGCAGACTTAGAAGAGTCAACAGTTAGTGTTTTGAGATCCGCCCAACATATTATTCCTTAATTGCAATATGGTGTTTTTGTAGGGATCTCTATAAAATAGTATTAGGGTTGTTATAGATTTTTGGTTGAAAAAGTAAGGAAGGGATGAAAATTTTGACTGACAAAACAAAGATAAAAAAGTCCTACAACAAAGAGTCAAATCTAATCAAAATGGGAAGTGATTGAAAATGCTGTTTGTTCAGCACAGATGCAGTACAATGCCCAAGGATTTCTCCATGAAAAGTTTGATGCACCACTTTAAAATGTAAGCTTCTGCTCAGTATGCAAAATTTCAGAGTTTCAGAAAGGTACCCACACAGCATTCTTTTCCTAGACCCATTGCAGTGCCCAGCAGTTAATACTTTAATACTGAATTTTTGTCATAAATGAATATAATCTGCTCTGAAAAGCAATCCACACACCTGCATTGCATTCATTACGCTGTGGTGTCAGCATAGCAAAATTAAATTCTAACTACATTACTGCATATGTTCCTATGGCACCATAGTGTTCATTGCATTTCCATTGAGAATATGTGGAATTACATTTCATTGTGGTGCCAATATTGCAATAACAAGCAAACACCAGTGTTGTGCAAGCCCTACAAGGACAACATATTGCAGAGAGAATTAAACTGATATATTTTATCAGGTTCAAATATGCAGGTGAGGATATATGGTATGGGTATGAATCTAGATGGTTTAGCTGAGATTCAGTCCCATTTCTGAAATTCAGTAGTTGCAGTTTGATTCAAGAGCAGTCAGGTTTACCTAAAGCTAGGGATGCATTGATACCATTTTTCAGACTGAACACAAGTATATACTTTTTAGTACTCGCCAATACCGAGTCCGATACTACACTGGGTAACCTACTTAGAATTAAGTAATTGTGGATGTGAATGAGTGCAATGTACCTTAAAAAGTTAAATCATTAAAATCTAGCTGATTTGAAATGATGCCAGTGCTTTGGCCAGCTATGCTACATTAGTTACCTTGGATCGAGTAATGCTGCAGTGGAGAAGAGCAAGTAGAAAAGCGTTTCTGTAAAGCCTAAGCCAAGT